ACATGGTCTATAGTCAGAACATTTACATTGTGACCCTGGAAACAGAATCAAATAGCCACAAATATTTAGTGGGCATGGATATTTATGGGACATTAACTCATAAATGAACAAGAACATTAATAAAGTTTATCTCCTCTTACAAAACACAGACATTCTCTTCAGTCAGGGTTCTTAGCGATTTTCAAACTGTGATGATTTCAACAGCAGAGATTAACAAGCCTGCTAATTAAACCAATTAAATCCAACTTAAAGCCAGTAAAGAGCTAATAAATTACCATCTGAAGTCCTGTAATAATTGTCCTACTTTGTTATGAATTTGTCTGACTAGAGCAAAGCATTGTTTCCTCTGTAGCTGAAGTCACAGGCTTTTTTGTAGCACACTCTGTGAGCAGCTGGAAATGCAAGTGGAGATTTCACTTTTAATGCATTTGTATTAGTATTGTACTTGTTTTTGTTTGTGATTATTCTTTCCTTAGCATATGCTCAAATAATAGTTCCATGGTCAAACTCCCCTCACACACTATACATAAGGGGCATGTATATGCCATAAAAACTACAAAAATCACATTAATTTTAAAACCATGTGGTTATTGTAACCCATAGTACAAGTTTGAGTATTTACATTTTGTGTTGTTGGCATTTAGCTAACCTGTATATTGAAACTTATGAACTGTTGTTAAGTATGTACAGGTTTAAAGTGTTAAATAGGGCAGTGAATAGAAAGTACAATCTCTTACAATTCCAGGGGTTTGGGCCATGAATTAAAAAGAAAATCTTTGGGTAAATAAGGCCTTTGAACTACTGTACAATACATGATATATCAAACCATGCCATTGTTTATTTTCCAAAAACTAGGCCAAAATCCTAGCACTATGTGAAAAATTAAGTACACTCCATGATTCAATAGCTTGTAGAACAAACTTTACTCTGACATTGTTCTTTAGAACAGGGTTTGTGGGGATTTATCCACAGCTTCCTCAAGGTCTCACCACAGCATTTTAGCTAAGAGGTTGATCTGGACTTTGACTGTCCCACTGCAACACCTTGGGTCTTTTCTTTTTCAGCCATTCTGTTGTAGGTTTGCTCTTGTGGTGATGTTCTAGTCTGTGACCAAATTTCAGCTAAGCTCTAACAGATAGCCTCATCTTTAACTGTAGAATGGTGTTGAACGGTGTTCATGGTTAGCTCAGTGACTGCTAGGGGCCCAGGATGTGTGATTGCAGAAGAAGCTCAAATCATCACCCCTCCACCACTGAGCTTGACAGTTACTATGAACAATTACTGTCACTATGAAGCGATTGTGCTGATATGTTGTGTTTCTGTTTTGCCAGATGTGGCACTGTGAATAATGGCCAAACATCTCCACTTAGGACATTGGTTCCAGGTGCTGCCATGTTCGTTTTAGAGAGAACAGGCTTTCTACTGGCAACCCTTCCAAACAAACCATATTAGTTCAGTCTTTTCCTAATTGTACTATAATGAGATGTAGCTTTTGGGTTTTTGGCAGTGTCTCTGGGCATTGCAGAGATGAATTTGGCAACTGTCTTGAATGTTTTCCACTTGTGAATAATCTTTCTCACTGTAGAATGATTTGCTCTTCCCAAACAGATCAGCAGCAACAATTGCTTCTTTAAGATAATCGCCTAGTTTTTCCTTATTCGTTGGCAATGTGCTAAACATTGACACACACCTGCACGCTCCAGACCAGCAAGTGCCAAAATGTCTGCTCTTATATCAGTGGTTACACTTGCTGATGATCAGTTACTCAGATGCTTTTACCCTAATGCATTTAGGGTGTACATAATTGTTTCTGCACTTTGGCTCAATTTTTTATCATGAAAATAATGACAGAGTGTGTGTTATGTCGTGTTTTTTTTAATTCGTTTTAGGTGGTATTTACAAGATTTGTGGAGCTGTTCAGAACCATGCATCCATTTTTATCGGCTTATTTAGTTCAGGGTCGTGATGGGGCTGGAGATAATCCCACTGGTCTTAAGCTTGAAGGGTAAAACTGGACAGGTGACCAGTCTGTATCAGGGCTCACCCAGTGAGCCAGACAAACACTCATGCTCACATCCACACTTATAGCCAATTTAGAATTACCACTTAACCTATCACGCATGTCTTTGGACTATGGGAGGAAGCCAGAGTGCCCATAGAGAACCACAGGCAAAAGAGATAACATACAAATTCCACTCAGAAAAGTCCCAGCTGGTCAGGGGATTTGGACCTTCTTGCTTTGAGGAAACAATGCCTACTATTGCACCACTGTGCTGCCGTGTAAGGAACAGCTTTATATCTTATATATATATTTTTTTAATATGCACTGATACATCAACTCTTATAATTGACAGATAGCGTGAAACAGTATCTTCCCTGTTGGATCACTAACATTATTAGCATTTTTATGCCGCATGGAAAGCTAGAACTACGTAGTGAAATATGGAAATAGTTATCAATAATTTATCTGGTAGGTGTATACTGTGTTATTCTCATTAAAAAATATTGCTGCTACAAGCATACCAAGCATATGCTATATTGTAATCTTGACCCAGGTAATAATTTTATACAAGTCTTACAGATAACTTTATAGCAGTCTCCAGAGTTTTATCCATACCTTGATCTCTTTATCAAGGTGTGGATAAATCTACAAAGTTACTGAACCAAACTGGCTTGTGGAAGAGATGGTTACAACAGGATTCATGTTTGCAGATGAGAGGTTACACATTACCCGCCTGCCTCCAAGGGAATTGTGTTTTTCTTCACCTGTAAAATGAGGGTCCTCAAGGCCAGGAGGCGGCCCTGACTGGCAGCATCGTGGAGGGGTGAGCGGTCTGCCCAAGATCCTGTGACAGGAATATGAATTCAGTATTCAATTCAGTATTGAACACTTAAATGTATTATTATTTACTTAATTCTCTCATCCAGAGAAATAAAAATAAAATCAACAGTACAGAGAAAGCTTCAAATATGCATTCTCCTGCCACACATCTAAACATAGCAAGTAGGTGTTTTAACCTCTCAAGTCACGTTTTACCTTTCATCTTCCAAGAGTTAATGCACCCAGCAGCATATGGTTATGTGACTTAACAGCGCTTGAAAATTCCTGATGCATTAAACTCTGCACTATCACACTCCATTCACATGACAAATGAAAGTAAACCTGCCAAACTGGCTGTGCCCTTTTAATAAAAAAGAAGGAACTCCAGAAAAAAGAAGAAATGTCTTCAGGCACACCTGAGTCAATGTCCAGAATAACAGCTGATGCATTCCACACGTTCTCATCGTCATCATCTTCATCCATCCTTTCATCCATATTCTTTATAAATTATACAATAATCCACCCAATGTTTTCTATTAAATCATGCTTTTTTATTCATGCACCTTATTTTCCCTGACTGACATTAAAATCTGAAATACAGACAGGACCAGCTAGAGACATCAAACAGATTTCTCAGAACAAGAAAGACCATCTACGGGACCGTGACAAATACCCTGAGCTTGGTCAATTAGTATTCCATGGAGTGGGTACACTTTAGATTAAACAGCCCTTTGGATGATAGTACAGATTATGTTGTTGTCGTGTCTGTCTTCCCTCAGAATGTGCCTTCGAACCGCCTGTTCCTGAGAATGTGGAGTGTTGTTTTGGTGGCTGTGTGAAAGTGTGCACTGCATAGCTGGGAATGGAAACTAGGGCAGGATGCGGCTGGGGGAGGGGATATCATGACTGCGTTCTATTAATACATTAGAGAGAAAGAGCTGCCGGGCCAACAGTGTCTTCATTTAATATTGAATGTACAGTTCAGGATTTCTAAGTAGCTTTTAAGCTAATGAAAGAAAAGTGGGCTATCAATGATATTTCTAGTATGTATTAATGTGAACACAATTAATGGCTTTTATACTCATTGGATTAGCAATGCAGTATTTATAGCTCATTTGTAAACACTGAAATTGTGTGTGTGTGTGTGTCTGTGTGCATGGAAGGCTTCTGTAGGATTCTAAAGAAAACATTTACATTTGACCTCTGACCTTTTACAGTTGGGGTTAAATGCATTGCAGGGTGTTTGTAACCATAATTTATTTATATTGTGGTTACATTTAAGATGTGTTTGCCATCATCGTACAGATATATTTTATTAAACAAAGTAACCAAATTAATAATAAATCAAGTGTTAGTGCTTTTTAAAACGACCTGTCTCAGAGTACTCACTGTGTTGTTGACCATAATCATAGAACTCTGCTGATATCCTGGCAGCCTCTTTGCGATTCCCACGGACAATGTAGAAGTATGTCAGCAAGTTAAGAGAGATCTTAACAAAAAGCTTAAAGCAGAACAGTGCCAAGATGCTGAGGTAAACATTGGACAACTGGGCTGCGAAGGGCTTGTTGGTGAATTCCTCTGTATGGTCTGACATTTCCTCTGGCACAATACAGAAGAGCTTTGGTTATGATGAACGCAGGATCAGATGCCACTACAAAAAGCATAAGAGTAGCCTGCTTTTTCCTCCCAGTGCACTGACTAGTTGGCTGGTCCTGACAAAGCACGGGCTGGAAAAAATTCTCTGCAGCTGCTACTGTGCCTGATTGCAACAACTGAAATGTAAGTGTACACTATGTTTGGATGTGGGTGGGCTCAAGTTATATAAATTTCAAACTTACAAACTTGTTTTAATTGCAGAGGTGATGTAATTTCCCCAAAAAATGTAAGTCATGGCAGCATTTAATTCATATTTTTCATTAAAATGTCTTTTTGCATGAGTTGAACTAAATATAGGGGCTTAAATTCTGGTTTAGTTTGGCTGAACATGTGTTTAATTGTCTTGCAGTCAGTTGAATAAACGATCATTTGAATCTAGATAAAACTGATGTGAATAATTAAACTTCATTTCAGCACACACACACACACACACACACACACACACACACACACACACACCTAAAATACTTTATGTGCGTTTTAAATAGTTTACATTTTTTGCATGCAAATTTTTTTTATCAACCAGCGCTCGTCGTAGTAAACTTTCTTTCGTTTCCAAGGGAACGCCTCTTGATTACAACGCATGCGCGACAAATCTTCACCCTTTTCCGCGAACATCAAAACGCTTGTGCTTCCCCGTGTGGATGTTTTCTCAGCTGACATTTGTTCGTCAAATGAGGGCTTGTCAGGTGTTCATACCCGCTGTGGTCGCTCTCGGATTAATTGTCTCTCCTGTGTTTTGCCAAAATGTGAACTCAAGTGAAATTGGGACTCAGTTAAACGGCTCTGCCGCTGATTTCGGGGCATACAAAAAGCAGTTTCACCGCACGTATGAAGTAAGCAGCGAGGAATTTAGTCGCCGTCATCTCAGTTTTCAGGTATGTAAAGTGAGGGAGGCGTAGAAGAATTCTCAAGTGCCACACTTAGCAAGTGTGAAGTGCTCAGACAGAAAACTGAAAACAAACTGGGGGAGTACTTCTTGTTAGACCACGCCCACTCACGTAGAAGAAGGAAATACCGAAAATAATTTTGGAAATTTTGGTGGATGTTACATTAAATATAGATATAAATATAAAAAGCATACAAATACTGGCATAAACTGAGATTAAGTGAAAATTGTACTACAACATTGGAACAATAGTTAACACTGGTGTTCCGAGTAACATGAGGGAGGTGAACATAAAGTTGCAGCTTAATAGCTGAAGTCGTATGAAATAAAAGCAGCTGTGCGATCAAGAACATTTAATTTAGTCTTTCACTCTTACCTGCTTCCTTATTTCCCAACTGGTCGCCACAGTTTTATACTGTGTATATTGATATAAGATAAGATAAGAGATAAGATAGAACTTTATTAATCCCTCGGGTGGGTTCCTCTGGGAAATTCGACTTCCAAAAAAAGCACAGCAACGACCGAAGTTACAGTTACAGAATTGTTATATACACACACACACACACACACACACACACACACACACACACACATATATATAAATACAGAGACAAATATAAATAAAATATACAAAGGGGATAAATAGAATAAATAGGAATAAAAAATAAAAATACAAGTGAATTGCACATTTCAAGTATTGAGTCTATTGCACTGTTGACTATTTACAAAAAGTATTGCACAAGGTATTGTACAGTGAGGTGAAGAGGCACTACAGCTTAGTTGTTCCCCCCTCCTTTGTCCTCCTGTCTCCCCTCCCTCTCCCCTCCAGAGAGGAGTTAAACAGTCTGATGGCGTGTGGGACAAAGGAGTTTTTAAGTCTGTTAGTTCTTGTCTTGGGGAGAAGCAACCTGTCACTGAACAGACTCTTCTGGTTGTTTATGGCCGTGTGCAGAGGATGCCCAGCATTGTCCATAATGTCCAGCAGTTTCTTTAATGTCCTTTTCTCTGCCACTGTCACCAGAGTGTCCAGCTTCATGCCGACCACAGAGCTAGCCCTCCTGATCAGTTTCTCCAGCCTGGATGAGTCCCTCTTTGCTGTGCTGCTCCCCCAGCACACCACAGCATAGAAAAGTACTCCAGCAACCACCGACTGGTAAAACATCCTCAGGAGCTTCCTGCAGATGTTAAAAGACCTCAGCCTCCTGAGGAAGTACAGTCGGCTTTGGGCTTTTTTATACAGGTGCTCTGTGTTGCATGACCAGTCCAGTTTATTGTCCACCCACAGCCCGAGGTACTTGTACTTGTTGACCACCTCCACCTCCTCCCCCTCTATCTGAACCGGCAGTGGACCTTCTCTGGACCTCCCGAAGTCCACAACCAGTTCCTTAGTCTTTGAGGTGTTGAGTTGCAGGTGGTTTGTGTGACTCCATGCGACAAAGTTCCTCACCAGACTTCTGTACTCCTCTTCCTGATCATCCCAGATACACCCCATGATGGCCGTGTCATCTGCAAACTTCTGAATGTGGCATAATTCAGAGTTGTAGCAGAAGTCAGAGGTGTACAGGGTGAAGAGAAGAGGGGACAGCACAGTTCCCTGTGGTGCTCCTGTGCTGCTGACCACTGTGTCAGACGTGATGTCCTTCAGCCTGACGTACTGTGGTCTGTCGGTGAGGTAGTCAGAGATCCAAGCCACCAGGCAGGGGTCCACCTCCATCCTGTTCAGTTTTTCCTGAAGCATACAGGGCCGGATGGTATTAATGGATGGTATCTTTTATAAGCTGCTTAATATGTTTTAACATCTGTCAGCATAACATGCTTAGAGTTTTTTTTGGCTTTTATATTAACAATTGTGTGTTTTCTTAGTCAGAGTTGGATAAGAAAAGTTTTGAGAGGTTTCAAATACATAAATGTAGATTATTTTAATTTCCCTTTCTATCAAAAGTATTGAATATCTACATGAACAACTTATTTTAAAGACCAGAGTTTACTGTTATGTTTTTCTTTCCTTTCCCCCCCTCTCATTTAATATCATTGTACCGTTTCATTTGTGTAATTGCAGAGAGCTACAATACGGCACACCTATCTGAACTCATTTTCCACAGAAACACAGTCTGCCAAGTATGGTATCAACCAATTCTCTGACCTTTCACAGGAGGAATTCAGAGGTAGGTTGATATTTTGACATAGAGGTATGTTTAGTGAATCCTTTGGACATTTTATTAATTTATATTTCTGTCCTGCCTTTTGTTAAACTAGGCTGAGTCTGCAGAATCATAGTTTACACTTGTGTTTGTATAAAAAAAGAATGACTTTGAACTGTATCTTTTATCCACAGATCTGTACCTGGGAGCAGTCTATGAGAGAGCTCCTCTCTTCTCTGGACTGAGTGTAAAGGAGCTCCCAGACAAATTTGACTGGAGGGACAAGGCAGCCGTGGCACCAGTCCAGGACCAGCAAGCAGTAAGTTTTACACATGATACTGTAGGTATACTGTACATGTGGGAGGTTAGCTGGAGATGCTTTAGATGCAGAGACATAATTGGACATATAAAGTCATGCCTTTTCATTATTTATGAATAAAGCAATCAATCAACAAACAGGTACAGAATACCAAATACTACACAGGCTTTGATAATGAATGCAAGTCTTCACCAGTAACACAGTCAAAATTATGATGTAGACACTTGTCAGGTGATTCTTTGCTTTTCACTTTTAAGTAGGTGAAAATTTATGATGCCCTGTGCAAGAGACTTCAGTGCTTCAGTTTTAAGGGTGAATATACATTTAACACTTTTTAAACATTTTTTATTGTAATTTATTATTTTTCTCCCCACCAAAGTGAAAAAAGATGTGAAAATTGTAAAATAAAAGCAATTTTAAGTGGTTTTAGTTGATCATAAGCACCTTGAGGCAACTGTTGTTGTGATTTGATGCTATATAAATAAAATCGAATTGAATTGAATTTAAAAGCATCTAATTGAAAATAACACAGAGAAGACAAAACGCATCAAATGTTGACATGAGAATGTGTGGCTGGTATTGTAAGTGTAAGAATAACATTTCTTAACAGAAAAAGAATGTAGGGATTTCATCATATACATCTATGTGAGGGACAACTGAGATTTTGTACTGAAGATCATTGCATGGGCTCAGAGAGGACTCTGAAAATCGTTGTCACTGAACCCAGTGTATCCCTTCATCAACAGATTCAAGTTAAAAATTATTTTTCATCTATAGAGAAAGCGTATGTAAACAAGACCCAGAAACTCTTTTGCCTTCTCTCGGCACCAAACTCTTTCCCGTGTTCTGGACAATCAAAACTTGAAACTCTTTTTAGTAATCTCGAATGCCTAATCATCCAAGCTGAAATGTGGTAGCTTTGAAATATAGAATATTTAAGAATTTATGCAGACATTTTTTTTCATTTAAAAAAAAGTCTAACATTCTTGTTGTCACATGTCTCAAAGTGAGAATTAAGGTGAGTGGAAAGAGACTTTTTTTCCCAGATGAGTACATTGGGAACGCTCTTCAAATATGAAGCATTTAATATGAAGTACCAGAGAGGAAAAGGCATATTTGACTCAAAGGCGACCTCGGTAATGGTAGTGGAAGAGCAAAGGAGCAATGACAAGCTAAACCTCTGGAGCTGTTGCTCAGGGAGCAGAATGGACCTGGGGGTACAGAAGGGAGAGGGTTAGTGAGACGGAGTTGTTGCTTGTCCCTGCTGAAGATACACTTTTTGCTCTTTTTGTCCTTTATCTCTTTACTCAGTCAATTTGCCATAGGGGATGATGATATTGCTGTAAAACTGTTGTCCTAAGGGAGAGACATAACCGGTTCAGCTGAACGCCATCATGATCATATATTTTACTTTGCTCTATTCAGGTAAAGTTTCGCACTCCAGGGAGATGCACTAAATGACCACTCTCACCTACCACTCTCCTCTGCTGCGGTTTTACCGGTCAGATTTTTTTTTTCTCTAGCTCTGCCTGTGGACCTGCTGAGTTTTTATAGTACATAGATGGTGAGACAGAATATAAACTGCTGTAGGATGCACACAGACCCGATATATCAAACCACTCACATCTTGTTAATGCTTCTTGATCCATTTTTTTTTTTACCTTTCTTGATTCCATGTTTGTGTCTTGAGAACATTTGATCACTTTAAAAGCAGATAGCCCTAATATTGTGTATACTCAGCACATACTTATGTTGAGACCAGGCAATATTGACTGATTTTGCTTTCAGCATTGATTTTAAGCCGTGAAACCATATTGAGCAGCAAAAATTGGATTTTAACAGAGAGCTCAGTTTTTCATTACATCTATGGGAATACATTTATGCCAAGTAAGTGAACTGAGCATGCAATATTAGGATGCCGTTTGGAGAATAATATTTGCTTGTGCAAATATTAAGCAAAAAAACAAAACACACAGAAGAATCCCTCACATGATGAACTAGTGTATGTACCAGCAAAAAAAGCAATACTGGTTTCAGGAAAGCATTTTTTAATCTATATCAGATATAAAATATGAGAAATTATTTTGCAGTCTGAATACAATAAATAAGCCATAGACATAAAACCTTAAATTAAGACCTTTAACTGAAGCAGATATTCACATTTTTCTGAAGCGTGTGCATACCTGTGGTTTTTCTGTCAGCAGATGGCAGCAGAAAACAATCGGTCACAGTCACATTATCACGTACCGCGAAGAGCATTTAGAAACTGAAGATACTTGATTAAACCGTCTAAAATCTTGTGTCAGTCTTATAACACTGGCAGAGGGCTTTTTAGATGATTATTATAGTAGGATTATATAGACAGATATGCATAGGTAGTTCATTTCCAGAAATAAATAAGAAATAGCTCCTTAGGATGGTACAGTGTGAATAGATTCTAGGTCAGGAGCTGGATCTAAATAATGCTTGCGAGATTTTTTCTTTTCTCTTTTGTCTCATTTCTGTAATTTTACCTTCACAGTGTGGGAGCTGTTGGGCTTTTAGTGTGGTTGGTGCCATACAGTCTGTCCATGCCATAGGAGGCTCACAGCTGGAGCAGCTCAGTGTGCAGCAGGTTGTTGACTGCTCCTACCAAAACGCAGGCTGTAATGGAGGCTCCACAACTCGGGCTCTGAACTGGTTAAAACAGGTATGCTGATAGTCACACAACGTTAACAGATTTTTAGGTCTTATAAAAGATGCTTCCAGAATCTTAGCTTATAATACCTGAAATGACCAAGGTTGCAATTAACATTTCTGTATCACTAAGGCAACAGGAGAAATTGAAAATATGGTACTGTCTAAAAGTCCGAGGCCACCTCTCATTTTTCTGTTCTTTGCTTCCAAGGTGCCAAACTTTCTAATATTTTGTAAGTGTCTTGAACAGTAATTCAACAATACTTTGTTCCTGTTTCCTGTTTAGTTGAATATATGAAAAATGCCAATGATAAGTTTTACAGGCATACAATATATTTTTGCACCAAGGTGATTTATAAAGAAAATTTAGCCAAAAACCAAAAAAGTGAGTAAACTGGACATATGGAGTACAAAAGAAGAAATGACAGTCCTTAAAAAATCTATCTACAGCAAATGAACATTATCTGAAAGTCATGTCCTTAAAAAATGGGTAAAAATCGAGCAAAAAGCTGACAGAGGACCTGAGAGATGCACCTGCACTTCAGATGATCCTTCTGCTGTTCACTGAAGCCTCATGGGAAATGTTCTCAGTGGATAGGTGGCTGTCAAGAAGCCATTTTTAAGAAAGGAAGAGAGTGAGATGGTGAGAAAAGACTGAAGTATGTCAGCTTAAACAAGAACTGGACTGAAAATCTGTGGCAACAGGTGGAGTGATGAATTCAGATGTGACATATTTGGTTTGGAGGAAGTGAGGAGAGGTACCACAGTGATTAGTAAAACATGGTGGAGGCTCTGTCGTGGTTTGGGGCTGCATTTCAGCCACTGGTGTTGGGGATCTTGTCAAAACACTATCAGTCAATGGGCTGGCCTCCAGAGAGCCTCTGTCAAGGGGTCACCTTGACAGAGCATATATATACTATATTCCCATATATCTTTGCATGTTTCAGTAAATTGCTGCACCTGCTTCCCAATTTTCCTAGCAAAATTTAAGGAAATGAGTGGGTGGCTTAAAACCTTTGCACATCACTGTAGAATCACACGATTTAAAACTTTAGCATCTATAAAATCTGTGTAACATTGTTTAGACATACACATTAAGAAAAATGAAATAAAACAGAAATGCTGTGTACTAATGTTCATTATTTGCTTTGCAGACCAGAATGAAGTTGGTGAGTCAGTCTGAGTATCCCTATAAGGCCAAAACAGATATCTGCCATTTTTTCTCCCAGTCACATGGCGGTGTTGCCGTAAAGAACTTTACAACACATGACTTCAGGTGAGACTTTATTTTTTTATCAAGTTTTCTACAAGGAATAAAATATTAACTTCATAAATTTAAGGAGAATAACATGCAACTTTAATTTGGGTTTCATAAAGTACCAAGGACGGAGAAATGGGCGTGGGATTGGTTCTGTGCAATCACAGTGTTTACTCTGTCAACACAGACATCGATAACTCACTAGCACAGAGGTTCTTAACTCCGGGTCAGTTCTTTTGGCCCAAAGGTGAATCTGATTGTTTTTACTTAAAATTGAACAGAACAGGGACTTTGCTTCGTGCATATGTAATGCCTTCTGTTGTTATTGTTATTTTGCCTTCTCAGTATAATACTTTCATAGCTAGGCTCTGAACCCACTGTTAGAGCAGATTTAACTGAGCATCCAAGTAACCTAAGATGATGTTTATTGTTTATTATTATTATTTATTTATGTGCAATCTTTTAAACAATAGTATACATTTTAATTGTTTAATTGTTGAAACTGTTGTTTTCGTGATGTTTTTCTGCCAAACATGAATGAATTTGTTAAAAACATGGAGGGCTGCCATGTTTCTTCTAATATTTTTATTACAGTGTCAGTATGCAACCATGACCTTGAATGGTACAAACCTCATTTATCATAGACTCCATATACTGGAAAAGAGTCTTGGTAGTGATAATTTACTGTGCTAAAACACAGCAAATTATCACAACCACGACTAGTAAGAAACAGGAGTACTGTCTGCCTGGCAATAATTCTGCAAGTAGTAGCAACTCTCTTGGTGCAAAGTAAAAGAACTACAAATCACTTGTCAGGGAAATGGGGGGACAAGTGAGCTGAGATCTGCAGTACCATCAACTGGCCTTCAATACCATGGAGGCAGAGTGCCTCATCAACCTGTGCTTTGTAGGATACAGCCATGGGAAGCTGGAGAAAGGAGAGTTAAACTTGAGAATAGATTTGTACTGCTGCTGCAGGACCCTGGATCTCTGTGAGATGGCCTAGATAACCTCTTATCTTCACACAGCAGTTTAAGGACTTAAAGTAGTAATGGAAGTAAAAGACTACAGGGAGAAATAGCAACTAGACCTCAGACTCTGAATGTGGTTGATTTTGCTTCTTTAACTCAAGAGCGATTCAAAAATATACTGCTTTTCTAAACTCAGTAATCGGGTTGGACACCCAGCTATGAAAAATGTACACATGGACCAAATCCATTTTGGAAACAAATAAAACAATCAGCATTTTTGTAATGGGATTTTACCAACATGTTGTTCATTCTACTTTAATATGGAGGCATTTATCAGAGAAGTTCATAAACTCAACTGATTATTTCAACTACATGCACACTCCATGAAGTGCTTTAAAAAACAAACAACAACAAACATCTTTTTCACATTCATCTTTTTTAGTGGAGTTGAAATTTGTGTTAACGAGTCAAAAGTAAAACAGTCAGCCACCCCAGCTGCTACCTGACAAAAGTTAAATACATGATGAATGCCATAGCCAGGAGATTCTCACTCTGTATACTGACTACCAAGGTTTGGAATTCACAAAGGTTTGCAGAAACTCAGTGATACTTCATTTCTATATCATAAATATTTCTTGTTTTCACCAAAGCCTGTCAGACAGCCTCGGGCCTCTCAGAGTCGCTGCTGCCAGAATTGTAACAAGAGGTTAGAATTTAAGGTGATATTCTTAAATCGGACACTTTCAAGTTCTGTTGCTGGTTTATAAATCACTTAGAATCAAACTAGGTTAGGCTGCCTTCTGCTAGTGTGCTGCATACAGATGGAAACAACTTCCTTCCTGATGATATATCATGCACGCCAATCTAGCCACTTTCAGATTTAACCCAAAAACTCACTTGTTCTCCCTTGTTTGTGATGGATTGGCTTCTGTGTTTTATAGTTGTTGTTTTCAGGTCAGCTTCTAATGGCATAACTGCAATGTAGATTTATTCATAGCGGACTGTTATGTTCATATTTTATTTTCTTTGGATGCATTTTATTTCCTTTTGCATACTTACCTGTCATTCCGTGCTCTTATATTTATAGTTTATTGTGGCTCACTGTTTTTGAATGACAGTTTTGATGCTTCCCTTTGTCCATGTAAAGCAGTTTAACTTCCCTCTGTTTGAAGTGTGCCATGTAAATAAAGCCACTTTGCCTTCCTAAACAGAACTTGAAAGTGAAGCGCTGATATTGAGATTTATTGCATATCAACACAATGTTACTTAAATTCCTCATGTTCTCTCATCCACAATTCACTGATCCAGTCTAAACATTTTCCTTAGACCTGTTTGTGTCTTCTGAGGGGTCTCAACGTTAGGTCACGGAGTTTATCAAGCTGCTGGAATTGGATGTTTCTGCAGGGTGGAGACTTGGGGAGGTCACAGAGACGGCTAATCTCATGGTTAAACCAGATTTTTACTGCTGCAAAACACCATAAAGTTTTAACACAACCTCACCATAAACCCAAATGACTTTATTCTGACTTTCTTCGGTATAGATTTGGCACAAACAGGGGCTTCGAGCACCATATGTAGTAAGGCTGGCAGAGTACAGCGTGACATAACCCCAGCGGGAATCATCTTGTGGAAGGACAGAGAGTATAACTGAAGAGGCCAGTTTTTGAGCAACAAACTGACGGGAGAAAATGCACCACATTTAGTAAAAATCAAACAAAACTGATGTACTGATAATTGAAGTTGATTAGTTAAATATTCTTGTACAACATTTAACTGCCTGACTTTACATTAGAGTAGTAACGTAATTATAAGAACACGTTGTGCTGTGTTTTTTTTTTTTTTTTTTCCCAGTGGTCAAGAGAAGGCAATGATGGGTCAGCTAGTACAATATGGCCCTTTGGTTGCTATTGTGGATGCTGTAAGCTGGCAAGATTACCTGGGAGGCATCATCCAATACCACTGCTCCAGCCAATGGTCCACCCATGCTATTCTGATTGTCGGCTATGACACTACCGGTAAATACTACCACATGTCACATTTAAGTGAGACAAAGTATTTTGAATAGTTTAAAAAATATGACTTTATAATTTATTTGAGCTAACACAATTTTCGATTTTTAGAGGTTTGTAATCCACTGTGAAAGTAGTTTAAACCTGCATTTGATCAGAGTTTTTAGCTTATTTCGAATCCTTAAAAATACATTTTTTCTTTCAAGAGAAATATGAGCCAGCAGGAGGAAAAAGTTTTACATGTCAGATCTGAAGACTAAATAAAATTAAAATGTTTTAATTTCTCAAGGTCCTAAGAACCAAAGTTCCTTATTTCATCTCAACTCTTTTACAACTCCTGCTTGTCTAGTTGCAAGTAATTTACGAGATTAAAGCAGAGTATGAGTTTTCTTTTTAAAATTGCCTTATTTACAGTGTATCATTAAGTATTTTGCTATTTCACCTTGTACCCTAATGCCCTGTTCTCTTAGCATACAGTGATCAAAGGTTAGCTGAAATTGTAATCATTAACAATTTGTGTACTCATGGTGACGTGGTGTACCAGATGTTCTGTTTAGTTCGATGTTTATCTACTTCTTTTGGGATCCAGAAAGTGGACACTTATGAATATTAGAGGCTAAACACTAGTTTGGTTACAGCTGTGTGGTAGCAGCTATCTCATACTTTATTTATGGGCATAGTTTAGACAAAAATACTTTACATTTATTAACATCAATTATTTCAAACACTTCTGTTTTCTAGGTATTACGCAAGCATTGGAGTGATTATGCAACAGTCTAATGTGGGTGCAGCACACATACTAAACACAAGTAGATCTTCTTTACCTAGTAAATAATTCAGTCTTAAATGCATGTTGTCTTTCAGGGGACATTCCGTACTGGATTGTGCAGAACTCCTGGGGAACAAGATGGGGAAATGAGGGCTATGTTTATATAAAAATAGGTGGTAACGTTTGTGGTGAGTTTGACCTTTGATCTTGACATTTTATGTTTATATGATCTTTCAGCTTAAGATGGGTGCACTGAAGTGTCCAGAATCTCCTTGGGGAATAACAGTATTTCTCTATTTTCTTTTTCTTTTTGCAGGCATTGCAGATTCAGTGGCAGCTGTTTTTCTTTGACGTGTGTGTGTGTGTGTGTGTGTGTGTGCGTGCGTGTGCGTGTGCGTGTGTGTGTGTGTGTGTGTGTGTGTGTGTGTGTGTGTGTGTGTGTGTGTACCAGTGCCAAAATTCAAATCATTCATCTGTTTGCTTTCGAGTACCACTTTAAAATAAAATAAAATACTTTTATAAAATACTTTATTAATAAAGTACCAAATAAAATACTTCATACTGTTGGCAAGTGTTGAATTTTAATAGAACAATAAAACACATCACTGCAAAAATACAATAACATGAATTGTTCCATCATATAAAACACATCTTATTAAATACATACAGATATATGTCATAGGTTATGAGTCATACATTTGGCTATAAAGATATTTCATTAATGAGTGCATAAATACATGACAAAATTAATTTAAAACTTTACAAAAACAACAACAACATTATGTACAATTTTATGGTTCATATTTATTCTGTGCAAATGGTTTTGTTTTAGACGTTGATGTGTTTGGTTCATTGGTTCATCATTTGCTGTACACCTTTATGCACTCAAGACACATCTGAGTAGTCTGAAATGGCTCCCTCCATGACACCATCACTGTGCTGAGATGAAAGATGATCCATTTTTGTAAAAACTCATCATCGCCACCAGCGTTGTCCTTGCACTCACAGTTTGATCACTGCTCTCACTGATCTGTTTGCTTTCAGGTCAATCTCAGCCAATTTACATAAATTTATTGAGGAAACATCTGAGCACCTCTTATCAAGGAGCCATCTGCAGTACTTTGTGGCTCACTGTCAAGATTAAAGTAAAATAGTCTTAATTTGGCTGTTTAAATATTTGATTTATTATCTGTCAGACATTGCATCATAAGCCTGCAGCATAATTTATCTTGATTTTCTCTTGTTTGCTAAGCATTAATATGTACAAACGTAGTTACTTTGTTACGTTTACTGTTTTTGTGCATTTATGTGTGATGTAAGGACATCACGCCTTCAAATCAACCCGTCTGCGTTATTCTTCACTCCAACATCCAGTTCACCTAATGTCAAATTAAAATACCACATGACCTCGAATTTCATCTCACCTAGATTTGAAATCCTTCTTAATAATATATAGTGTTTGATAAAACTGGCCATATGTTGAATTGCCTCCATTCATGAAAACACATACACTTCATATTTCAGTGTATGAGTTCTTTAAAGGTACACTGACAAGATGCCATGCATTGTTTCTCATGAACATCAACAAAATGTATTTCTTTGACCTGATTTTCACCTCTCATTGAACTAAATAATCCGCTGCTGGGAGATCTGTTTAAGTGAAAAAGCCTGGACAGACGAGTGAGATGCACTCTAATCCGAGTCGTCACTGCTGCAGTAGGAGCTGTCGCAGCACTCAGCCGTGTACAAAAAAGTGTGAATGTTGGGATTCAGCTTGGGTACCCAGTGGCGAGGCACCAGGAATGTTGCCAGGTTGAAAAGGTCCACAAAAACTTTGTATCGGTCACTAATTAAAAAGATCAAATATAGAATGATTTATTTAGTATGTGCTGAATTTCGTCTTCTGAGAAGCAAAAAATAAACTGCGGTTCACATTTTATTTTACTCTTGTGTTGTTTCTTTGAACTTTAAATATATTGTCACTGTGCATTACAGAAGGAGCTGCTACATGACAAGTTAATTAAGATAAGCAGAGTAGCACTGTGCTGTCTTTATCTAAATTAACTCTGAAGTGTTTCGGATACTTGCTGTGTGAAAATAAATGTCTAATCATAACATTATTTTACATCATACAATACCTGACAGTTGATCTAAGATAGTGGTAGCCAGACGACCCCCCTGTGCCAGCTTTGCTGCCAATCATCCGGTGAACCATGCACACATGATTGTCTACAAAAAAGTAGGGGAGAAAACATCCAGGAATAGCCATTGTTATTTTGTCCATTGGCGATAGGTTGTATTGATCAGCGGGCATGGAGGATGTTATAAGGTTCTTCTGCCTCTTGGGTTCAAATCTAACTTTAAAGTTTAGTAACTTTGTAGGCTTCTTTGTTAGTCCAGTTCTGCCCTTGGACAAAAACAACACACTGTAGAAAACAAATATACTTTCCTTTCCCCTCAAACTTTCTTACTCTGTTTACACGTAGCAAGCAATGGTGATGCCTCGGTACTTACATCTCCATTTCGTCATGAGGGTGTCGATATCCATGAGGGATGTGAGCAGCTGGAAGGGAACCTGGAACCTTGGCTCCTCCCTTAAAGGTAAAAAAAAAGAAGAAGATTTTATGTTTCACAGATTATAATGTAAAAAACAACAACTATTTTCTCTACATATCAGCTATAACATGAGCACAACTATCACCTGTTCACTACCACCAGTAAGTTACCGTATTAAATTTTGCATCTGTTATCACCTTCCACTAACTTCAGTTACCTCTGTTGACTTTTGCATAGACTCAGTAAATCTCAAGTGACAATGTGTCCTTACCGCAACCATTTGAAAGAAAAAAAAAGCTGGTTACCATACCTTTTAATAAAGCTTACATTTTCAGGCAGGTTTCACAAAGGGGCCTGTGATATGGAAAATTTATGTGGGAAGAACAAATGAGTACCCTTGCCTCAGGGACTAGCACTGAGGCGTTCTTGTGCAAGACTTTCCACTGAAGCTGTTTGCAGCCTCCAGGTGTTAACAACTTAAAACTATGAATAGGAAGCAAATATAACATACAGTGTCACCACTAGACCATTAAAGGTGAGGAAACCTTCTAAAACAAACTAAACATACCTGTAGAAGTATATCATCAGAGCACCTTGCAGAGCCTTGTAAGAGAGTCTCCTCTCACCTTGTTAACGAAAGGGAAATTTTTTATTTTCAAGGTAACAAGAAATGTTGGTGTTTACATCCTTTTGTAAACTAGAGTTTCAATTTTAAAGTCCACACCTTGCACAAGATAAGCTTCACTTTGTGTTAAATAGAGGCTGTAAATAAACATGATAAAGCCTCGGTGATTATGGCATCTGATTAAACACTTACCCTTGCTGACAAGGTGATCGTGGCGCTTTTCGTCAAACAGAGATGTGAAAAGCTCCCTCTGTTTGACCATCTCTGCCATCAGTTCCTCTTTCTCTTCAGAATCAGGCATTTTCTTTAAAAGAAAATATGGGAGGAAAAAAACAGCCGTCTCTGTCAGTCATCGGTGTACTCCAGGGACAGCAAAAAAAGAAAAAGAAAAAAAGTTTGTTCTGAAAGCTGGAGCCATCTCTTACCTCAATTTTCTCCTTCTCCTGATTTAACCCATCAAGTATATTGATTTCCAGCCTTTGCCAGAAATTGAAGCCATCCACCTCCAATCCAGGAGTTCTCTCCAGCCACTCCTGAAAGAACAGCCCAGGGTTTATACTCACATGTATGCTCTAGCACAGGGGTGAGCAATTAATTTCGCCAAAGGGTCACATGAGAAATTGGGACTGTCGTAGAGGGCTACACCATGGAGCTTATAGAGAGACAAAATTAATATTGAGCAGAAATGGGTTCAGTTTATTGGTTTGGCCCTTTACAAAAGTCCCAGTTTGTCATGTGGCACCTTGGCAAAATTAATTGCCCACCAGTCCTCCAACAGGACAAAGAACAACAAATTCATGTGTTTTCATTACTTACTAACTAAATCAAAAATGGTAGCCCTTCCACATGTATGTGGCTGTAAAACATACCTCAACTAACTTTAAAAGTGTTGGTTCCTGCTCAGTGGAGAGCAGCATCTCACTGTCATGACCTTTAAAGTTGTCCCTGTAATGGCGTCTGTTGTATGGAACCCTCAGGTTGTCTGGAACTCCAATTTTGTTCTCCAAGAGCCGAAACTGGAGGCTTTGGAAGCCAGAGGCCGGAGACAGGTATTCCCTGTATACACAAATAAGCATGCATGTACACAGTTAAGCCAGAGTGCAACGTTGTGGAGGAGTGCATGTTATATTGCTTTTTGGAGAGGAGTTTACCTAAAGTCAAAAAAGTCCAAGGCTGTCATTGTTTCCAAAACTGCAAAATGGTCAACCAACAGTCTGAAGATCATCACAACCCTGTGGATGCGAGTGTTGACTTTGAGCATGTTACGTTCGTCTCGGACCTTCAGAGGAAGAGCAAATGTTAGGGGAATTATTGCTGATCATATTTAAGCTTGCAGGTCAGGAAACAGTCTAATTAAATAACTAGTTCTTTTTGTATTTCCAACAATATTTTTTACAAGTATAACATATAATGTATATTTCTACCTAAGCAAGATATTAAATTACAACTGCTGTTCTGCTATTAGTCTGTAAATACCTGATCACAAACTTTAGTATGACTAGTGAATGTAATTTTTTAAACAGAGGCACTGAGTGATTGTGACGGTGTTCTCCACTGATGGTTTTCTTTAAAATGCATTTTAAATCCTTCATCTTATTGACTTCATTTTTCTTATTAGCACTCAATCTTTAACATTTGCAGTGTGCATCTAAAAATAGTATCAGCAGTGCAAGATACATTTCATTTTTCTCTGTTTTAATTATGAATTTACAATTGCTTAACCTTCTGTTACCACAGAAATATAACTTACATGACCGCTGATGAAGATCTCTCGCACAGAGTCCAGTTCAAACAAAATCTGTTTGAACCAAAGTTCATAGGCTAAAATAATAATAAAAAAAAGATCTTTAAGCGTCATAAATATATATAAGTATTTTGTTTTGAGGTAAGGACAAAGGTCAGTAAGCAGTCAAGGCTTTTACATTTTTCTATTCACTGGTGGAGAAAGAGAGAAATGAAGGAAAAAAAGGTTGAACTATTTCTATTAGTGTGCAGCGGCTTCTCACACTAAGTGGATGCAACCAAAAACCTCCATATCCTTCACTATAGGGGTGAAAGAGTCTCCCTTTAATTTAAAATTGATTTTCATTTTTCACCTGTCTCTAACTGTCTGTAAACAAGGTGAATGATTTACAATCAAATCAACATTTAAGTAAAGTTCATGACTGGATTCAATTTTGCTTTCTTGAGAAAATGAGAAAAAAATAATTTCAAACAAAATGAAGCTCAACTTACCTTGATGGGTGACAATGAAGAGGTGCTCATCATGGATCTTATCGGCTTTTAGTTCACTTTGCAGAACCTGAGCTGTGAGTATTTTGTCGAGCTGAGGGTTGGAAAGAGAGAAATCAATTGATATAAAAACTTTGATTGAACAACAAATGCAAATTTCAGTACAAATATAGATTTGTACCTGCAGGTAGTCTCCATAGATAATTCCTCCTCTACTGGCCTTGTTGACCCCTGCCTGGGAGTCATCCTCATCTTCTTCAGTTTTGGGAGGTTTATTTTTGAATAACCTGGAGTACAAAGAGAACACCTCTGGTTACTTGTTTTCCCATCAACAAGATTAGAAATGTAGGTAACATTTTTCTATTTAATGTATGTGAAAAAAGGGGATAAAAATCCAAGAGTGTAAGTGTGATTAAAAATATGAACGCACAAATGCTTCTTCTCAAAGTACGGACATCCACTCATGACTTATTCAAATCGGTGGCAGCAAAGATGTATCCTTGTTCATTGACTAATATTTACTAAAAGAGATTTCAACACAATCCGAGTTTTTAAAGACTTATCTTGTCCAATCAGTCACAAGTATACAGTTACCATCCGGCCCGCCTCTATTTTTCCCTTGGAGCTGCTGTTTATCTTTACTCAGGACTGACGTCTGGACTTTGTTTGACCTGCTAAAAGAAGGGTCACGCAGACCAAAAATAGTAAAATATGGGCATATTATTTTTCTGCATTTACGAAGCTATCAGGAATATCAAATGACCTCCACATTATAAGGTTTTGAATTTGCAATGCATTGCTTGAGAGTTTTGATTTAGACGTGGCTGTCTTAGTCACTGGGCTTCAGTGTTTACACTCAGGGATACTCTGTTTATACTCTATGAAAAAACTGAACTTATAAAGATAAGATAGACAACACCTGTCCTTGCTGCGAAGACAAATATGGGCTTCATCTGTTTTTGCTTCTGAAATGTTACGGGGACTCTGTAGATGCAGCCCAAAGAAGGAAGAGAAATACTGCTTTTAGTATTTGGTGGTTTTAGCTGTAACAGGTTTAGCCACTGATTAAAAACATAGGAGTGATTTTGCTTTAATTTAAAAATGGAAATCTCATTTCAACAAGGTCCTTAAAACAATTTCTCTATCTTAGAAATATTAAAGTTACAGTTCCCCCCCCCCCCCCAGCTTTTAGCACTGGTTCATACAGTTCATTTTTATTGGATTATTTGAACCCAGCAAAAAAAAGAAAAACAGGTAGTTCAGAAGTTGCTTTACCCAACTGCTTAAAACACTCTCACAATCTCATTGCTGCATCACAGACAGAGAATGTAAAGTGTATATATATAGTCTCCGTTGTATTATTTTTTTTTTGCATCATAAGATTGTTTTTTCTTGTTGTGAAATAATTTGTTTACTATGGTGTTATAGCAAGTGTTTTTATATTAGATTTTTCAGGACCTTCTGTATTAGTGTGGAAGTCACGAGAAATCCCTGATGACCGTTTGTATGTCATTGAACTCAGCTGTAAATATTTGCAGTTTGGTTAATATTCTATTTATGTTGGTGGAGATTGGAAATGCGTGGTTTTAAAGTTACTGAGTGCACATGATGTTTCCTTATAGTACTCCTTTAAGTACTTTTCTAAGTATTTCTTCTTATAAATGAGGTTCAGCAATATACATACCTTGAAGAGACGGAGTGTTTTTGTCCACTGCTTGTTGGAAGCTGAAAATGTCATTCATGTCACACTGTAATAGCTGCCATGCACATGGGAAATATTTGTTGTTCTCACAATCCACATGGTCTGTGTAAAAATAGTTCTGTTGCTCCCCACTACCCGAGCCACATCACAACACACACACAGTGCTTTTGAACAACAGTGAACTCCGTTTCATCCGCGTGAAACTAAGAATCCACAGTCCACTCTCTCTAAATCGTCCCTGAGATCATTAGCTCTCTCTGTTTTGTTTTTTTTCCAACACTCTTACCAAGTAATCCCATCAGCGTGCGCAACAGTTCTCAGAAGATCAGAGGAATGATAACAAGCAGCTATTTCTGAATTGGTACATGGTACAAGCCTAGCATTATAAGGCTTCACGCTGAGCAAGAAGAGCAGCAAGAACCCCAAAAATCCTTTGTTCTTGTTCTCATTTAGTTGGGATGAATGGGATGCTGGTGGAGAAACGGCTACAGTGGATGAGATGTTTGTGAAGACACGAGACCTATTACGGTACATTTGCAAGTCTCACAAATACGACATGTATTGTGACATGCCTTACTGAGTCAGACTGAGACTGAGTTACTAATTAAAAAAGGCAGGGATAAATCATTTTCTTGTTCTCACTGCCATGTGAAATGAAAGTTAACCATCTCTATCCACCCCCTCTCTTCTCCCTGTCCTTTAACAGGTATAAAGTCCTGGAATAAATCAATGTCATCTTTGTCTTCAGCTCGGCCTTCATATATAAATCACTGGACTCTTTATCCTCACAGTTAAACACAATCAGTGCATTTATAATTTAAATGTAGCAACAAATGTATTACAAAATGTAGCAAACAGATTAAGTAATAACTGTTCTTTTTGCTGTAGGCATCCTCTAAGTGGGAACTCCAGCAACACTTGAGGGAAGATGAACAACTTTAATAATAGACCAACGCGTTTCGGCTTGTGGCCTTCATCAGGGTCCCTGATGAAGGCCACAAGCCGAAACGCGAATTCTTTTATCCTTTCCATGCACCTTGGAAGCAGGTGAAGTTGTGCCAGAAAATTCTTTTTGCTGCGGCATCCTCTAAGTGGCAAACATCATAAAGAAAATATTTATACACTCTAATATTTTACCTTCTGTTTCTGTTGTTAGTTCAAACATTTTCCTTTAGAAAAATTGCACCTGTTTGATCCTTTTTTAAGTCGCTACTATTTAAGTTTAGTCAAATTTCCTGCATTTGGAAATCCTGCCAAAAATACTTTTACACATCAATCTGATTTTATCTCTACAGGTCCTGTTGATTTTTCATCAAACGGAAGCTCGACGAGTTGTCAGCTCAAAGTGAGTAAAAACAATAATGAGACTGCATTTGCTTGTGTGCTTGTTTGTTGGCAGAAGGGAAAAAACAGATCTTTTATGAGTCACGGACTACATGTTTAAATTTAACTTCCCCCTGGACATTTAAGAATTAAAATGTGCGTTGTCTCCGTCTGTTGATTATTAATGTGCTCATAATTATCTAATAAGCTCGGTTGATGAACATGATTGCACATATTTAACATCGCATCGACGTTCGCCGCTTTGTTACTGTAAATTCACCTTCGCTTTAAATTACTGCAGCTGTCTTTAGTCTCAGCTTTTTGTCAGATGATTTTATATGAATCTGAGGAGAGGAGATTTTTGTCAAAGCTTGCTTCAATTCCCTACATCTCTAGACTTGAATCAGAATTTATACTTGTAGATATTTCTTCAGTACTGTAACAGCTATTTTGATATAAAGTCCCCGAGCCACTTGAAAGTCAAAATCAACCACCTAAATAAATCAAGCCCGTTGACGTCAAACTGAAGTGTCATATGATCTTTGGTTTCATCTTCAGGTATCCAAGAGGGGGACATGTAGAGTGTGAAATCATTTCATGTTTGATGGTGTGATCTCATACCGCTACCTCCATCTGAAAAAAAGAATTATGAAACATGCTTGATTTTTTTCCTCTGTTGCTCTGATGTGGTTATTGCACAATGCTTTTGGTTCTTTGATGTTCTTGCAAAGTTCTGCCATCTCTTTTATGTAAGCCTTTGAAGTAGAGCTAGTTGCACTGCATAGTGATATGCTGCACTGTTGCTCTGGCAGTGTGGTCACAGTGTGATACTGCAGCAGTACTGGCGTTCATTTTAATATTACTAGTTTAACTATTCCATTTGATGTCTCTTTAAATTAACCTGGAGTCTTTTCCCTCCCAACATCTGGCTTAGTAATCACTAGAATTTCACCAAATTATTTGAAGTTGGATCTCAAAGAAACAATATTTCTGACCCTTATGAAGGAACAGTAATAATTGCTGTTATAACAAGTGTGCTGCGATAAAGCAGGTCAGCCGGATGACTTTCTGAACTATGTGCTTTGTACCACTAGGGAGCATCAGAGGGCTTTTAAGAGAATGAAAGATTTGAATACTTCATATTTGGCATAGTCAAGTTTGCATTAGAATTCCGCTTTTTTTTTTTTCCAGCAGGGGTTTGAAATGCTTTGTATGGATATATCAAAACAAATGGGGATTCGTATAAGTTCACTATAATTTCAACGTGAAGAACAACAGACGATGGCTCACAGGGGAACTTTAATAAAACATTTCATTAAAAGTTGGCAGTGAATGGGTGTGATATACCCAAAGGGATTCTGATGAAAACTTTGAAGGCATGTATTTCAGATTTTGTGCTGAGAAACATTAAAAGAGATGCACCTTTGTTGGGCTGTGTGTCATAAAATATTTTAAATGGAGAAACAAAACCCCCAACAACATATAAAGAAACTGGGGGAAGCAGAGAAGCTGAGAGGAGGACAAAAACAACAGTGTAAAACAACTTTTGAGCAAAGAATATTCGGCTCCCATTTGGTTTGAAATGCTGTTTGAAGTTTACCACGAAAAAGAAATCACTTTCATATGAAAGGGTTATTTTCAGACTTATACATTCCAACATCCAAACTCTTCTGCGCTTTGATGAAAAACACCGGAAAAGGTGATCACAGCCTAAATGTAATTTTGAGAAAATAGGCTTTTTATGTTCACACGCAAATTTATCCTTTGTGATAATGACGCTGACTGACTAGACTTTTAGTCAACTGTCTATACTTCAGCTTAATTAAACTTAAAATTTCTTCATCAATTTACATACTTCAGAATGCCTTCGAGCAGCTGACTTCAAAGTAATGCTTCATTTGTCTTCTAGGGCTTTGTAGCTCAGAAGATTTATTTTAAATCATTAATCTAATTTGAGAATTTGATGGGGTTTTGGCACTGCTTTTATTTTATTTTGGAATACTAGTGCTTTATATATGTTGCCATTTGGGAATGCTTCTGAAGATCAATCAAAATCAGCATCCGATTAGTAGTAGTCTGATTATGTGTTGCAGTTTCATTTTCACCTATATCTGCACAGTGATTCTTGTAGATTCACATGTTTTTTGACATTTTTAACAATTAGAACTAAAACACTGTCGGACAAAAAAAGTCAATAACAAACTTGCCTTGATAAAGCTTGGCCCTAACACTGCTAATGAACACCCTTAATATCAAAAAAGTCTCACTTCAGAAATCTAAAAAACAACACACCCGAAAGAACCCCAATATCATTTTAATTAGTGCATTTAACATTCAAAAAAATGATACCTACCGAGAACATGGATGTGATCTATATTTGTATCCACTGTTGTTGTTTATGTGAGATGGGTTCATGAAATATTTGTGTTGATGAATTATTCATTGGACAGGAAAGCCAAGTCAAAAGGCATTATGCCCAATAAACATTAAATTTAGTGGAAGTAATAGTTGACTGCA